AAAAGTGAACTGAAGATTGTAATTTGCAGTTAATCCTGCTGTATTGACTACAAGAGTTAGTTTAAATGCTAATTCAGCTGACACCTAATCTTTACTACTATATGAACCAGAATTTAAATTAGTTCTACCATTATGGTTCTAAGAATTCTAGAGAATGATGAATGATGCTGGTTTATGTTGCAGAGTCAATATCAGACAGCTATTTTTTCTTTCTTATTCATATATATATATATATATATATATGTATGTATGTATGTATGTATGTATGTATGTATAAAGTGCTTTGGCTTTGAGGTTTGTTCCTGTCTCCCCCTGACCAAGAAGAGAATAAATTACACTGGATTCCTTCTCATTAGCCAAGACCACTATTGAGTTAAAGTCAGCAATGTTTCATTCCTCTGTGGTCCTGGCCTGGACAATAGAGCCTTTGGTGTGCCATATGCCATGCCTGCCATGTGCACTCCATGGCCAACAGCTCTTTCAACAACCCTTTCTTGTCTGTGCTAAGAAACACGGGGGCTGATGGAAGGGCTGGGATGTTGAAAAAAGGATGCAGCAGTGGTGAAAAATGCTCAGTCTTTTGTGCAGGCAAATAACAAATCACCTTACTTTGTGTTCTCCCTTGCTGCTGCACTAGGCATGCCTTCCTAGTACTTTACCGAAGTCCTGAATGCCTGGGCTCTGGAGAAAATTTTCTTTCAACACTCAGCAGTGCTGTGACCTCTAAGTCCGAGGTCAGAGCAAGTCTTATTTGTTTTGAAGCTTAACATAATTAAGCAGTAAGAAAAGAAAAAGGATTAAATAAGAGACACTATAGCAATAGGAACTCCCAGTGGGAGAGAAGGCTACTTTTTATACTATGAGAAGAAAGATCTTGTGTGGAGGAGAGAAAGTAGACTGTATGTCCTTTAATTGTCTTTGAAAGGAAAAGAACAAGGAAAAAAAGGAAAAATAAATAAATTCAAAATTATATGAACAAAGAGCTCTGTTAGGTCGATAAGTTATTTAAAAGCTGCAAGCTTGCTGGCATGTGATATAGTCCCTCTGGGTAAAAGCCAGACTAAATAATACAAATGGGAGCCTACCTTACTTCAAGCTATGAGTCTTCAAACAGCTTTTGAATTTGATAGTTTCTCTTTCTCTCTTCAGGAATTGAAGTATGGTTCTGACGGAGATTTTGAGTGCAAGCATTCAGATTTAAGAGCACAGAGTGTTACTATCTCTTGGGGAAGGAAAACCAATATAGGCAAAGGCCTTTGCTCTCTGCATGTGCATATCCTTGACATACAAACGCACATGTCAGATGTGTTAGCAGAACACCTGTCATTACAACTATTGCCAGGTGAATGTAAGTAAATCCAATAAGCCTCTATATTAAAAAGACAGCCAGGTATGAGATACACTGTTTATGCCAACTCTTGTGACTGGGGATGAGGAACTGATTTCCACTTTTCCCTGAGCCCTGCCCACCACTGATCTCTCTCAGTGTTATGGGCTGCTAATGCCACCATGGTATAGGGATCTTTCTGTGTAGCTCCATTAGGAGGAACAGCCTTCTGCTTTCAAGCTAAGTCCCTGTCCTAGAAAACATTTGGTCACTGAATGCTGAATAAAGGATTGTTTGAGGTATCTGTAAACTTGGAATTGCCTATTCCCACACCTCCATTACTACACAAGTAAGGAGAGAGAAAAGACAAGTCTTGCTATTACAGTTCAGGATGTGTTCAAGGCCAGATCAAGAGCAGTTGGTCCAAGTAGTTGGTCACAGCTAAAAATGGATACCGGTTGCAAAGGGAGTTCTGAAAGTGTAGACAAGATGCATCCTTCTCCTTCCCACAGACAAAATCTTTAATTTTTCAAAACCAGAAATTTTCAGAATGTTTCAGCATTATCTTTATTATCCTTCAAATTGTTGGTGATGAAGCATTTTAAACAGTCCATGACTAAGTAGGTGGCCTGGTGGGGTGCAGAATGCCTCTTCTCTAGTAATTTCTGTGCAAAGGGCTGGTGTTAGGCTGTGCTGAGACACACAAATAGAATTTCTGGTGTTTTACAGTTCTGCCCATTTTAATGACCTAGTCAGTGAATCCACTTGTGGCAACTTTTGCCATCAGCAAAGTGTGTTGAATTCCTGCCTGAGAAACTCCAGAGAATGTGCATTGGATGCTGGCAGAAAAGGGAAAGTCTTTCTCTAATACTGGAGTCTTGCCATTGTTTTCCACTTCAGATCTTGTTTTCTTGCATAGCTCCAGTGAGAGCAAAGGATGGGTCTAGAGAGCTGGGAGAGCCACTATTACAAAACAAGCTGGAATGTGCTCTCTCATGCAAAAAGCCCTCTTACGAGGGCTATCTTCAGGAGACTATGCCCTGCAAAACCCTCTGTACCACAGGCTGTTGATTTGTTAGTCATTGCTGTGAAAGCAAAAGACCTTCACCATCTGCCTTTGTTAATCACAGCCTCCACTTCTCCACCTCAGTTCCCTCTCCTGTCCAAACACATTTCATTAATCTCACAGAACTCAGATATTTCCAGTTTTCCAAGCATGCTGGTGGCACCCCATTCAACAGATGCACCAAAGGTACTCATCTTTAATGGGACAAAATGAGGAACACAGACTTCATTTATGAGCAGTGCTCAACTGAGAGCTGAGCTGACAGTGCCCAGTTCAGCACGAGCCATGAGGCTGCACTCGTTCATTCTACATTGTATTCACTTACCTGTTAGCTTTGGTTAACTGTTAACTTTGACCCTTTATTTACTCATTTATCTCTTACCTCCAGAGAAACCTCTTAGCCTTTCATCTCAGCTGATTAGCAACAAAACTAATGCAAGCACTTCCTAATTAATTAATCAGGAACTTTCTTACATGGTTTTCCAGCCATTATTAAATGGTTTTATTCTGTGGCCAAGCAGTAATTCTCAGGTACGTGTCACAAAGCAGAAAGTCTCCTAGCTACTAATGGCACCCAATATTTACACACAAACCTGTTCTTTCAGCCCAGCTAGAGGGAATGTAAATTTCTTCCAACAAAAATATGAGGAAAAATCAACTTTAGAGGATTCGTGTGGAGAAGACAATGCTTTGGAGAAACTATTACACACGATGTCTGCAGGAATGAGAAAACTGAGAGGGAAGATATGACTTGAGAAGAACACAGGTGAGAGACTGAGGTGTAATTGCATCTAGTGCTGTCTGCAGATATGCTGAAAGAAGAGACTGGCTATTGAAGAATGAGACTAAATATAAGCAGGCTATAATGGGGTACTTGACAATAGTAAAGGCCAGGAACATACCAGTTTTTTCTTGCACTTTCGTAACTACCAAACACTAACATTGCCAATATTATAAAACAGATTGTGTGTAGTATTTCTGCCAATAGTCCCATATATAACACCGTCAACTTCATTAACACTGGGCATTAAACATGCAAGATGCAGTTAAACACAGCAGTTATCCCCAGTTTTTAGAAGTGATAGTAAAGGGTAGGATAAATTACCCAGTGCACCCCCTAAGGAAGACTTGCACCTTAATGAAGACTTGGGAGGTTTTGCTGTACCCTGGCTGTGCCTATCCAGCCTTACCAAGCCTCTTTCTGCAAGTTGGTTCTCAGTCTCCCTGCTTCAGTTTCTCCACTAAAAGATTTTGATTCTACCAAATAGTTTGTGATATCATAAAGAACTGTATGAGATCTAGTTATGAAACAGGAATTCATTAGTTAGGAACCATCAATTAAAGTGCCCAGAAACAATTTGAGCCTAAGCAGACCCATCAAAAAATCTCTTCTGCATGGAGAAAAGTAAGGATGTAAAGAAAAAAAGCTTCTGAGAAACCCCAAAAACAACATAAGCTAGTACAAGGCTTGTCTACTATTTCTTGTAACTTTCCAAAATGCAGTGTGACATTGAGATCTCTGGAAAAAACCTCAAGAGATAAGGTGTTCCCCACCACAACCATTTCTCTTCTGTGAGCAGTGACTCCATGTGCTATGGCACACACACCCAGCCCTTCCAGGCAGTGCACAGCTCTGGGAACTGCACACACGACATAGGCAGGCTGCCTGCGTTCAGGTGAAGCTGTGCTGAACAGAAACATCCTGCATATATTCCTGATCAGCACTGGAGTCTACTTTTCATGCACAAGATGTTTCAACACATTTTTCTTTCTGAAGCCTAAAAATATCCTTTTAATGGCTTCTTAAAGATCCTTTTAAAATTCCATACACAGACCACACTTACTGCTGACAAACTGCATGACCTGAAGAACTTTATGCACAGCACTGCAGTTTTACAGTAACGCCACTAAAGCTGGCTATGAAAGCACACTGCATGTAAATTACTAATTGTCCTCTTGAAGTATTCGTGGAGAATTAGGGTTTATATTTAGGACTTCACATCCTAATATTCAGAGCTGAATTTCATTTACTTTAGCATTCTCGAAGACAAATAGGTAAAACTGTCCAACGAAGTTCAGGTAAGCTCCAAAATCCTGTTTTACCCTTCGTGTCTGGGACTGAGAACTCAGTTTTGCACAGAAAAATCACACATCCTCGGCCAACGCTTCCAAAGGTGTGAGCTTCGCATGCACTCGCCTCTCCCAAACCAAATAAAGCAGCTTTAGGGCAATGCCTAAGCTCTTTTCCCTGGACACCACACAAGGCAGGGCTCGGAGCACACCCGCAGGGACACGATTTCTGACAGCTACAAATCGCCCGCCTGAGCCCACGACACCCCGAGCGCCCAGCGGTGCCTGCCGGCGCTCGCTTTTCCTCTCAGCGGCCCGGGGGAGGTGCCGGAGCCGGCGCTGCTCGGCCTGCGAGCGCCTGCCCTGCGCCGGGCCCGCCCGGCCGGCTGCAGCCGCAGACACGGCTGCGGGCCCCGGCCCTAGCTCGCTCGCCCCGCCGGTGGGCAGGCCGGGGCAGGGCAGGCGCATGATGAAACTTCGCGGTGTGTTTCACCAGCAGCTGGCGGCAGGGCGGGGCCGCAGCCGGCGGGAGCCGCCCCCTCATCCCCCGGCGCGGACGGCGGCTCTCCGTGCGCCGGCGGCCAGCAGCGGGTGAGGCAGCGGGGCGGGGGCGGCCCGGGGCCGCGGGGCTGCGCCGGGCAGGGCCGGCCGGGGGAGCTGCCGCGGTGCTCGGCCTCCTGCCGCCGGTTGGCGGGGGAGCGGCGGGCCCGGCATGTGCGGCGGCCGCCGGAGGAAGGGGCGGCCGCGTGGAAGGGCCGGCCGCGTGGAAGGGCCCGAGGGGAGCGGGTGTGTGCGGAGAGAGCTTGCCCCGGGGACCGCGGGTTACCGGGAGGACGCTCCAGATGGTGGCAAAGCCCAGCTGCATGTGCTGAGGCTGAGGTCCGCAGCGCCATCGCATGTCCAGATGGGACAGATGTTGGAGGGGGAGCAGGGTTGTTGCAGCGCCGTGCTCCCCTCGGCACGCCTTTTACATCCCCAGTGTCCCCGTAGCTGTAGGCTTTGTGGCTCCGAACCTTAACCCTGATGGCCGCGTTGGGCTGATGTCTCCACTTGATCTGGAGGTCCCCAGCTTCAGCGAGAGCAGAAGCATTGCTCCCTCCGCACCTTGGCCATCTGGGCCTGCCACGCTGCTGCTGAGGAACTCCATCCAATGCTCCTTGGGTTCGAAGCGGTTCCCCCTTGTCCTGTCCTTGCTAAAGAGACTCCCTCTTTGTCATAAACCCCTTTTGAATGTAAAGGTCAAATTGAAAAGATGTTTACTGTTTCTGCTCAGATGATGTTACTTCAACATATTGCACTCTGTGACCAGTAATGATTTGTTCTATTTGTCGTCTATAGAAAAAAAAAAAGAAATTATCATAGACAGCCTTGCTGTATCTAAAGGTAAAACTTAATTTCTTGCTGGCTAAAATTTGCTAATCATACTTTGAGCAAGCCAGGTTTTACTTAATGTTAGTAAAGTCTGCTATAATTTTTACCAGGCCTCTTGGCAGCTGAGTGATTAATAGCTTATGTCTGTTATCTGTGTTCTTTAGGTGTGTGGTGGGTTGAGCTTGGCTGGATGTCAGGTGCTCGCCAAGGCACTCTATCGCTCCCCTCTTCAGCAGGATGGAGTGAGGGGCAAGAAAATATGATGAAAAATTAAAAAACCTTATGGGTTGAGATAAAGGCAGTGTACTTTTAAGGAAAGGTTAAGATCATGCACAAGCAAAAGGAAAAAACAAAAATTTTATTCTCTTATTTCCGTCAGCTAGCAATGTCCACCACCTCCTGGGAAGCAGGACTTCAGCACATGTAGTAGTTGCTTTGTCTTTATCCTCATTTCTCTTATATTTTTTATCTGGGCAGATATCAGATATGGAATATACCTTTGGATAGTTTAGGTCGGCTGTCCTGGCTACATAGCCTTCCTCATTTCTTGCCTGCTCCCAGCCTTCTGGTAGGGGGGAAAGGTTGGGTTGCATTGGTGCTGTGTGAGCACTGGTCAGCAGTAGCCAAAACACTGCTGTGATACCAGCACAAAACACAGCACTACGAGGGCTACTGAAGGGAAGATGAACTCCCCCTCAGGCAGACCCAACATAAAGTGTCAGCTCTTGCTCACAGTGTTCATGTCTCTGTTGAACAGGTTCTCCACAGGCAGGTAGAGCAAGAGCCTCACAATGTGTGGTATCTGGGCCCTGTTTGGGAGCGATGAATGCCTTTCTGTGCAGTGTCTAAGTGCCATGAAGATAGCACACAGAGGTCCTGATGCATTTCGTTTTGAGAACGTCAATGGTTTCACCAACTGTTGTTTTGGTTTCCACCGCCTGGCAGTTGTTGATCAGTTATATGGTATGCAGCCTATCCGGGTGAAGAAATTCCCATACCTGTGGCTGTGTTACAATGGAGAAATCTACAATTTCAAACAGGTAAGTGTTGTATACGCGATGATTTTTAAAAAATCTTTTTTTTTTTTTTTTTGCTATTTCAAGGCTAGTGGATATTCAGGGCATCTTTAAAATGTGTTGGACTGGAATGTTGGAAAAAAATGTGAAAGTTAGCAAAGAACTAGTATTTAAAAGGAACTAAATTATTTCAATGAACTGTGAATCTGGTAGCTTAATTTGCAACATACTTAATCTTTAATACCGAAAAAATCACTTTTTTAATTGATGAGAAGGGCAATAAATATTTTCACCTTCAGGTTTGTTCAGTTGACAGTTAAGACACATTCTTCATTATCTCATGGGGAGAGGAATTCCAAGCCTTTTTCTCCCCTTCTTCTCTCTTTGTAATACAAATGCTTTTAGACTGTCTTGCTCTTCAATGGTTTTGGGTCATTATTGTCCCCAGCTGTTGGGTATTGCATTTTTATTATTGCATCTCAATCTAGATGGGATGTGTCACTTAAGATATAGTGATGCATAGTATGCATGCTTACATAGAAGCATGCATACTGTGCCTCACTATAAGCATGCATCTTACATAAAAGCAATACGCCTTAGGGAGGTGTTTTCAGTATGCCATAGAAGTCCTTAGGTGTCTGCAGCAGAAGTCAGGTTTTTTGTGGGGTTTTTGAAAGCCACATAAGTCTCTTAGGCACAAAACAAGTAGCAACTCTTATTTAGTTTCTAAGCTTCCTAAATGTCCCTGATGGATGTGATACTGCTGCTAAATACTGTCAGTGCTCGCCAGTTCCTGTGGTGAGATGTCTATGCTGACTGTTAGTGGCGAGATGATTCAGATCATCCAAATTTAATGTCTAAAGCAGCTTAAAACTGTGTCTGGTTCTGATTCTTTCTGAATGAATGTGTAAAATATGTTACATACTTGGTGTGGTAGAATCAGAAACCTATGAATAATCTGAGATATTATAACATTTCTAATATCACATTTTTTTAAGTCCAGTCAGGCTGCTTGCTGCCAGTCACATCAGTAACATCAGTAATGTTACTGGGAATTTGACTGAATAGGCAGGAGATTTAATTTTTTTTTTTCCCAGTCTTCAAGTATCTTTCTGTTTGAAGAGTGAGACTGTGTCCTGCAGTACATATGAAATGTATTGTACCAACAGTCTGTATTACTTGCAGTGTTTTGCACTGTGGTTTTTCTGCTGTTGAAAGCAGTAGGAATTACTCTCAGTCATGCTACGCACAGTCCTGAGGGGACCTTAATTGTGCAACACTTGCATTACCATCTACAGGAATTTGTTTGGTTGTTGCCACTACATTATGTACCCCCTTTCTTTATAATGAGATTTTTTGTTCAAGCTTGTGGCTGAAACCTACCTAAGAAAGGATCGTTGGCAAAACAGGTCCTCAGGGCAGTGACTTACTTATTTTAACATTGACTCAATTTGATCTAAGGCTGCCCCGTAAGTAACAATTAAAACCAAAGAACTTAAAATGTTAAAGCATTGGTTTAGTGGCTTTTTTTGGTGTGTCAGAGTTTTAGTGAAACCCCTACCTTTCCCTGTATGTATCAAAAGGACTTTTAAGAGTAGCACCAGAAGAACATGAAGAATATTTGGTCTGACTTAAGTCTGACAGCTAATTTCTTCCTCCCCCATTTTATATGCACAGGCAGAGTGAAAGGGCTAGTTTGAAGAAAGGAGGAAGATAAAGCAGAAGGAAATTCTTTGCATAAAAAAAGCTGAGGAATTACAGTGACTGTATAAATAAACCAAAGATTATTTCCAAAGAACTTTACTCTGCAGAGATGTTGCACATGTCTATGTGTTTTGAGTTGTCTGGTGTTTTTTTTACACAGTGGCTGGCTAATGCTTCTGAAGACAAGGGTCATGGATTTGCAGTTTGACATCCTCAGACAGAAGTGTATCCCTGAAAACTTGCCTTAACATAAATTGCTTAAGATTGCATTGTCAGTCTCATTGCCAAAGAGATGACTCTGGGTAAAATTTTTGTAGTGGGTTGCCCTTGCCCCTGGCTGGATGCCAGGCACCCACCAAAGCTTCCCTCCAACAAGTGGATAGGGGAGAGAAAGTACAACTAAAGTTTTATGAGCTAAGGACTGGGGGAGATCACTCACCAAATATTGTCATGGGTAAAACACTTGGAGAAATTAAATTAAATTGAATTTATTACCAAAAAATCAGAGTGGGGTGATGAGAAGTAAAATAGGCCTTGAAAAAAGAAACCTTCCCTCTACCATTTCCTCCTTCCTGAGCTCTATCTTCTCCCCAGCAGGGAAACAGGAAATGGGGGTTATGGTCAGTTTATCACATGTTCCTGTCACTGTTGAAGGAGATTTCTTCCTCTGCTCCAGTGTGGGATCCCTCCCATGGGAGGCAGTCCTCCACAAACTTCTCAAGCATGAGTCTGTCCCACAGCAACAGTTCTCCACAGACTGCTCCAGAGTGGGTCACTCATCCACAGGGTGCTTTCCTTCAGGCACAGGCTGCTCCAGGTTGGGTCCCACACAGGGTGACAAGTCCTGCCAGGAGACCTGCTCCAGCATGGGTTCCTCTGCACAGGTCTGCAGGTCCCTGCCAGGAGCCTGTTCCAGCATGGGTCTCTCACAGGGTTCACAGCCTCCTCTCAGGCATCCACCTGCTCCAGTGTGAGTTCCTCCATGGGCTGTGGGTGGATCTCTGCATCCCCATGATCCTTCAGAGGCTGTGGGACATAGCTGCTTCACCGTGGACTACACCATGGGCTGCAGGGCAATCCAGCTCGGGCACCTGGAGCTGCTGTCCTTCCTTCTCCACAGACCCTGGTGTCTGCAGGCCTGCTCCTCTCCACATATTCTTGCCCCACTCTTCTCTGTCTGCATTTACATCTGCACAATAACTTGTCTTAAATACGTTACCACAGAAGCATTACTGTCGTTCCTGATTGACTTGGCCTTGGCCAGTGATGGGTCTATCCTGGAGCCACCTGACTTTGTCAGATGTGGGGAAATCTTCTGGCAGCTTCTCACAGAGGCCACCCTTGTAATCCATTCACTACTAAAGCCTGGCCACACAAGCCCATTACAGCTTTGAACACAAAAGTATTGTTTCCTTCTTTGGCAGAAATATTTATATAACTTTTAAACTGTAATTTTATACTAGATTGTTCTTATGAAACAATTACTAAGCAGCCAATGTTTGCAAATGCTTATTTATGTTTTTCTTTATATTTTTTCTTAGTTGCAGAAGCAGTTTGGATTTGACTATCAAACATTAGTGGATGGTGAGGTTATCCTTCATTTGTACAATAGAGGAGGAATAGAACAAACAGCATCCATGCTAGATGGTGTATTTGCTTTCATCCTTCTGGACACTGCAAACAGAAAAGTATTTCTGGCAAGAGATACCTATGGAGTCAGACCACTGTTTAAGGTGCTGACTGATGATGGATTTTTGGGTGTCTGTTCCGAGGCAAAAGGTAAAGCCACCTGTGTTTAGTGCCTAAATAATCTTAGGTATTTCTGTTGGATACAAGTTTCTTTGTTGGGCTTTTCTTCTTAGTGTGAAGAGAAAATGAACTGTTAAGTTCAGTAATATATGAGCTGTATTTAGTAATATAAGAACTACTTATACTTATTACTTATACTTAATATTATATATTAATTACTATATTTAGTAATATAAGAACTACTTATAAAAGAAAAGAACTTTTACTTATAAAAGAAAAGAAAAGAACTACTTAAAAAAGTACCATTTAAGAAAAAAAGCATTAAAATAAAAGCATCCAAGATGTTTGACTGTCCTTAATATCTCTAAAATAACTTGCTTATTTAACTAGAATTTTTTCTGTCCTGGAGTCATAGCAGTATTGAACTCAAGATGTTTTATGTTAGGCCAAAGTTAAATATAGTCTATTGACTTATAATTTATTGTAGCATAAGTCTATTCTATTAGACTTTGGTCTTGGTGTTATGTAGTGAACTAGGTAATTATACCACAGGAACTGATAATCTGTAAAAGGCAGGAGATTTGAAATGCTACTGAAATTTACTGAAGCATAGGGTAATTTCCCAGAATCACATATTTTATTTGATGATGATTTTTTTCTTTGAGCTGACACTGCTCTCTCTTTTAAAGTAATCATCTCTAGTCTTGGCACTATCATAAACAAATCCAAACAGTGTCAAAAGGGTGTTTATTGCCTAAAATGCACTTTGGCTACAATTGATTTTCATTATTATTTCTCTCCCATTTATTGTGTATCTATTTTATTATCAGACTCCAGTGTAGGTTGACTCTTCTAGTAGTACTATATAGTAATACTAATGGCTAGTAATACTAACTAGTAATACTAAGAGCTGCACCATTTCTGTTGCTTGTGAAGGAAGAAGGGAATTGAATGTTTTGGAGACTGTGTCCTATAACAATCAGTGAATTACCAGTGTCTCTCTAACAGCAAGTCAGTGTCCCTTTTGAGGATGTCCTCAAGGGGAATCCAGGTGACCAGCAGGTGCAAAACATCCTCTTTCACATGGGGAATGGAAATGAGGTTTGGCTTCAAGTGTTACACCTGGCATTCAATAGCAGTGGAGTAGATCAGTCTGGAACTGATGAGGTTTGAAATCACTAAATATATGTCAATTAAGCAATCACTATCTGATGTCATTGTCACTACCTGTCACTATTACATGTTGTTTTATTGCAAACCCCTTATTAGCTTGACTACACTTAATTTTAAACACAGAATTAATTAATAATTGTCATTCAAATTCTCCTAAGCATATTCTACTTTGACCTGGTCTTAATAGAGTCAGTTAGAAAAGCACTCTTCCTAGTGCTCATATGGATAAACTGCTACTTGCCAATTAGTAGAACTTGCTGGTTTGCTTTCTCTGTTATCTGCCTCAGCTTGAGATGGCTCAGATCTATGAGTACATCCTTGCCAGAAGCAGAATCATGCTCTGGCCAGGACTGATGCTGACTGAAAAGAATAATTTTTAATATCAGATTTAGGATCCGGAGAAAATATTTGTATATAGTTTTAGTAGAGAGGCTGTTGAGGTATAACTTAACCATTTTAAGTCAAAAACTCTGACTTTTTTTTTGTTTTCCCATTTTATATGTAGGACTCATCAACTTAAAGCATTCAACATCCTTATGTTCTAAAGTGGAACCATTTCTTCCGGGTCATTATGAAGTGTTGGACTTAAAGCCCTCTGGCAAGGTTGCATCAGTGGAATTAGTAAAATTTCATAGCTGTAAAGATGAACCACTCCATGTTGCATGTGATACAGTGGAAGCTCTGCCTTCAGGTAGTACAACAAAGATTTTGCTACTTTGATTTAAAAATGAAAAATTCATAATCTTTGAATGCAAAATTTGCATTGATTGGTTTAAAAAAGTACCATTTAAGAAAAAAAGCAACCTGTAAGAATCTTTAAAATGTAGGGATTTTAGAATCGTTTTTGTAGGTGGCCATGTACAAAGAATGGACTTGAGTGTCTTTGTTATCAAAGGAGATTCAGACAAATATCTTTGTTTCCTAATTAACATCATCCAGAGTCTAAGTAACACTTTTTGGACATTTTTTACCCTTCTCTTTTCCTTTTTTCTGAGCAGGTTTTGACCTTGAAACTGTGAAAAGCAACATCCGTCTTCTCTTTGAGAATGCTGTTAGAAAACGTTTGATGGCTCACAGAAGGATTGGTTGTCTTCTGTCTGGTAAGCAGCACAGTGATTCTTCACCTTCTCTCTTTTGCCCATCCTCTACTAGTTAAAGGAAAGTATCTTGGCTGTTCTGCTGCAATGTACCTGGAGTGATCTGAATCTTCATTTGCTTTTTAGAACAGGCAACAGAGAACTTCTTAGTTTGGAATAAAGTTTTCCAGTTTACAAGTATCTTGAAAGTCTTATGGTTTTAAATGTTACTCTGGGCTGGGATTTTGGCTTTTTGAGACACTGAGTATTTTTAAATAAGACAAATAAATATAGTATTCCTATTGAAAATCATTCAATGTATTCTTAAATACATGAAATTTATGCTTAGGTTGGTCTAAAAAGAAAATGTAATTATTACATTCACTTTGCTCAGATTGAACCTGGAAGAAAGCCTTGTTTCAGAAGCAGGAGAATTCTTACTTGCTACCTTTGCTTTAGTCTCCATCCTAAACTTCCTTAATTTACCGTATTACAGGAGACCACCTGGACCAAAATTATTTGCTACACTCTTTTGCAGATAAGGTAACAGCTTGTGGTACAGCAAGTTGTTCACACACTTAGCTGACCACTGTTGTGATCTGATGGTTCAGTGTAACAGAGGTACTTTACAGAGCTAAGACTCTGAAATCATGGGTTTGGCACCTTATTTCTTGTGTTTGTGTGGCTCTTGGTACTTGGGGTTAGAGTTCTGGAATGCTTTTCATCCATTCACTGAGCAACAGTAATTACGCTTATTTGTCATGAACCCTATTAAATGTGCATCTGAATGAGAGAGAACTGACCAGGAGATACTGCTGGACCATTTCTTTACTATGCAATCATAAAAAGTAGGAAGAAGGTAAATTAAATGGGAAGATACATAGAGTTGGAAGATCTCAGTTTCAGTAAAAAAATCAATAAAAAAAACCCCCCAAACTTCAAACATCAAATTAGAAGGCAATCAGCAGCTCCTCAGATGCACATGTAGGAAGTAGCAAAACTGAATGCCTGTGCTGGTATAAATAATACCAGAGTATCTCACTGCTTCACAATTTTGAGTATGTTTGGAACATCACAGAGAATTGCTTTTGTTTCTAATCACAGAGGGAATTCTTCAATGTCACAGTGGAAACCTGGGGTTTTATTTTCCTGATTTTGCATCCCGAGCACTCTGTTTTCTGTGCTCTCCTTTTCTCAGAATTTGCATGTAATTTCAATGGGAAATATTTTTTTTACAAGATAGCATGTCCATAAAGGGGATCAGGGTGGGAACTGATGCTAATGCACTTCACTGAAAAAACAGATGGAGACTATAGGAAACAAAGAGAAGAGGGTTTTGCCTCATGCTTGTCAGAACTGCAGGCAGACGTGGGCAAACAGGCACTGTGTTTTGCTCAGTACTTTGTAGGAGAGCAGCAAGTAGAACTAGCCAAGTATTAGCAGAACTATCTTGTGATAATAAGAAGGCGGATCCTTAGAGTACATTTAGGCAGCTTGTGCATCTCTTGGTTCTATTTTCTGCTCTCTGTTCAAGTCCTTTCACTCTCCTCTAGAAAGAAGAGTAGGAAAAAAAAAGAACAACTGAAGAAAAGTCGAGCCCTTACACTAAGCATTCTGGTTTTTTTACTTAATTATGTTCTTTTAGTTACAGCAAACAAAAAGAAAACCCATAGTCCTATCAGTTGACTGTCAAATGTGTAGGTAAAAGGAATATAGGAAGTGGCTTTAAAATGGAGAATAAATCCCATTTTAGCAGAGTTGAGAAGGGGCATATTCTCTACTGGTGCAATGTGTTCAGTATACTTTCTGTTTATCTTAAATAAGGAGTTCCACTGATGCTTCTGACACCAAAAATACTAAAAACTGTTACTGAAGATGTTCCACTAAAGTTGCCTGATTCTTTTATTAAGCAGGGGTAAATGTGCATGTGTATGAGAAGTAACTTGTATTCACACAGCTTAAAAATGAAGCCCACTCACAGGATTCCAGTCTCTAGATTCCTTAAAGGGGGAAGCAAAATGTCATTCAAACACCTAATCAGGTAATTTGTTTTGTTGGCAGGGGGCTTAGATTCCAGCTTGGTTGCAGCTGTTCTTCTGAAACTGATGAAGGAAATCAACATCAATTATCCTTTACAAACCTTTGCAATTGGAATGGAGAACAGTCCTGACTTACTTGCTGCCAGAAAGGTATCTTAAACATTGCTTTCAGTTTAGTCTGAGCTACTGAATGCTAAACAGTGTATATTAATGATGCTAACTTCAAGGTATGGCATCAATAGTGGCACTGAAAATTCATTTATTGCTATGATGTAAATCAGTTTGTAGTAAATCATTTAGTACAACACTTGCTGCTTAATCTTACCAAAGAGGCAACTGGAACCTTGCCTGTTTTCTCTTGCATTTGGGAGACTTTCATGACAGTCCCTTTATACCGTTGTCCAAAGGATAGTACTTTGGACTTGTCTGTTCTGCCTCTGGGTTTTAGGGTAGGTCACCATGTTATGGTTCCAATACTTAGGCATTTGTCTATATGTAAAGTATTATAAGTTAATTATCAATTTGCTGAATTAACAATTTTGTACAAACTGTTTGGCATCTGGGGTACTATGCAGGCTTTCATGACTTCTATGCTGCTTTTTCTCTTAAGGGCAGGTATCTGGAATATTTAGAGCCTCTACAGATTCTGTTAATGTTTTAGGCAAGCAGCTGGATGATCTGTGGCAGTCATGATTGAACACTGTAATTAAGGAGACTGTGTTCTCTCTGGTGAACATACCATTGCAAGTCAAAGGTCTGCTAAGTAATGTCTTTTCTTGGCCTAATGTCATAATTTTCATTGTAGTGGAAGACAGATGGTGCTTTCACTGAATGTGCTTGCTTTAAACACAATGTATGTTTATAAAATGTTTTAGTTGAAAAGTGATGCATTATTTTGACCTTTTGCAAACAGGTGGCAGCCCATATAGGCAGCGAACATCATGAAGTAATACTTAATACAGAAGAGGGAATTCAGGCAATAGAGGAGGTTATCTTCTCATTGGAAACCTACGACATAACAACAATAAGAGCTTCTATTGGTAAGATATTTTTAATGGCTGTCTTTGGTTTATATCACCCAAATAAAATTTTATGCAAACTTACATGATCATCTCCTAGATCCCTTTGCTGGCACAGAATCTGGGGATTTGGACTCCAAAGTTCTTCTGCCTAGACTTATCTGTGATACCACACAGATGAGGCAAAAGCAGTTATTTACAAGTCCCTGACTACACAAAGCAACTGTCAAGAACTGTTCTTGAAGCTTTGAGATGAAAAGCGATAGTTACATGAAGAAGAAATGTTTGATCTGCAGGTCTGTTCTTCTGCTCTAGTAACTGTGAACCTTGGAGGAAAGGGGAAATTCACAGGTTTTCTGAGGTGCTGAATATTATGTCAGCAAATCACAGTTACCCTTTCCTTGCATAATTTTGATACTAATGTGAAGTATTTATTATTGTCCTCTAGTAAATTACGTTTAGTAACAGGTTCTTTTAATCTACACTTGATTCTGGGAAGTGGAGGGAGTCATCAGCAGCTTGTAACAAAGCTCTGCCAGCCTGATAAGAGGGGAAAACCCCTAATCCAATGGGACCTTTTGTGTCATGCAAGCTACAGCATTTTACCCAATTAATCTTGTGATGTTGTAAAAGAGTTATGAAGCCAAATAAGCAACTCAGTTTTTGAAACTGATCACTCTGGGTGGAATTTCCTCCATGAAGATGAGATTTAGCAATATGAATTAATGAATGCGTTTCTTTAAAAATTATAGCATTTTACTAAAACTTTTTTCTGTCATTTTTTCTTTGTGATTTGCTGCTTAGTATAATAACGGAGTAGATATTTTTCATTGGATTTGTAATGCTTTTGTTATAAAAGCATCCCATTCAGAAAGATGCATTCAGTGGAAGGCATAGTTCTGTTTTATAAATAGCTCTTTACAAAAAAAAATTGAACAAAGGGCTTCATCCAGTCCAACTCAGAGTGGTGGAAAGTTAAACAGCAGCTTTTGCTTTTCCCCAAGGCTAGAAGGTTTCTTCAGCACTGTGCTGGAATTAATGTTGCACTTAATTTCAAATTGAGTCAGAACAGCTCCTCTCTGTGTTCCTAGGGCAATCCTCCAGTGTTCCCAGGATCACAAGTAGACACATCTTTCTGATATTTTGAGGGCCAAATGTAAATGCGCAGTTTCGATGTATTTGCAGGACCAACTTAGTGTGGCTGTTGGTGTCTTTGAGTAACAATGGCATGGTCAATGCTACTTTGTCAGTTTTTTGCTACAGAAGGAAGTAGTGTAGGAGACAAATTTCTGAAATGCTAAATTTTAAACTACTAGCTTTGTATAGCATCACGTATGTAGATGTACTTTAATAACTTTATACTTTTTTTAAGGTATGTATCTTGTCTCCAAATATATCCGGAAGAAAACAGACAGTGTGGTCATTTTTTCAGGAGAGGGATCAGATGAGCTGACACAAGGATATATATATTTCCATAAGGTAAATATATTCACTATACAGAATGCCCTTGAGCTGCTTTCAACAGAACATCTATGATATTTTAAGGTGTGATATTTGGGAGTTATCATAACTGTATATTTGTTGAGTTTTTCTTCTGGGGTGGCATAAAATCCAAGGGATTTAATCACCTAAAAAATAGCTTTCTTCTTCAGCAATTCCTTATTATTATTATTGTTATTTCTTGTATGTAGTTTTTTGCTGGTGTTAAGATTTGTTGGTGATGACTACAATTCAAATGCAGGACAGCCAGCAATGGTTCCCTCAGTACAGGCATGTTCCACCTGTGTGCTCCATGCTACGTTTTTTTTCAGGCCCCATCTCCAGAGGAAGCTGCAGAAGAGAGTGAGAGGCTTCTGAAGGAGCTCTACCTGTTTGATGTACTTCGTGCAGACAGAACTACTGCAGCACATGGGTAAAATATATTCTCTTGGATGCTGAGCACTCATAATTTAAAAGCAAAAGAAGATTAGGTAGGAAAAGACTTTTGAGGATTTGTATACCAACATGAAGTTGTAGCCTTAAGGAATTTGAGCAACAGTAAAGCACAGTGCCAAATTTAATCTGATCTGTGACTATAGGACCCACTGTATTGCCAGCAGAAATATTTTTTTGTCTAGGACTGTACTGATCTTTACAGAAGCAGTGAATTAGAAATAAAAATATTCAGAGGTAAGGAGAGAAGGCAAAGTTGTATTTGACTTTGGGGTCTTTGGAGGTTTAGACAAGGAGAAATCTTGAATCTGATGACCATCAGAACTAAAACAACATACTGAAAAAAGTATGTGCATTAGGTAGCTGACTGTAACAAAGAGATACTAGGATACAATTGTGTAACTGATGCCTTAAAGAATCTCCAAATTGAGGACTGTAGACAATAGTATTGTTTTACTAAACAGAAGCATTTTATATAAAAGAAATGCATTAATTAAACCAAGAATAACATTGGAAAGCTATCTATAGGTAAGAAAAAATGGTGCCTTTGGCAAAGCAAACTTAATCTGTTGGGAAGTTTTTGTTGTATATTGAGCCTGCCACAAAATGACTTGCCCAGCTTTTTACAATTTTCTTAAGTTTCTCTTTACTAGTGCAGGAGACCTGCCATTTGCCTCATAATTTGTTTTCGTGTTGAAAATTTTCACCACACTTTCAAGGCTGTTTAATATCACATGCTGGCTGCTTTTGTTTTTCTTTGGACTGCTGCACAGCACTGTTAGGAAGAAGGAACCCTTGTATTGATAAATTAGAACAGAATTTAATGAGTCCAGATTTATGGAGAAAATGGAGAAGAATGAAGAGTAGAGAGGAAACTACTATTATCAATTAGGAACAAGAGTAACTAAGGAAAGACATGCAGTGCATATCTTGTTGGTGTATGGAAAAACTGAGCCCTCAGTATTTGATTACTCAATACTTAGTATTGGGTTCAATTGTTGTTTTGTTTTTTTCATATGGTGGGTATTACCTGAAATAGCTGAAGCTTTTTATCAGAGTAGAAACAAAAGAGACAATGAAATTAGTTGGATGCAGCATAACATCTTTTACTTGTGAAGCTGGACAGCATAATGTCTCTTGAGCAGACACAACTAAGAGGGGTTCTTTCTGCTGAAGATGCAGTTACTGTCATTTTATTCGTTGCCTTCTATGTCCTTAGAAGCTGTGGTATAAAAAAGCAGGAAGGCTTTGTATGTATATATATATATACCACTGGTATAGGAGAGAACTTGCGTTACCGCTGTAGTGCGCTGTTTTGTTATTTCTTGAAAACACAAACAAATGTGGATTTCAGAAATGACAGCAGAAGTCCTTGCTTGGTTCTATGATACGTTTACAAATGCTGATGCAAATCCTAGTGAGTGACTTAGTAGTTTTCTGAGAAGAGGATTTTTTAAAATGTGCTTTTGCATACATGTTGCAATGGTTGTTGCAAATCCTAAAATTCAGGGCACTATAAACTGCCCAGCATATGGCATTATAAAACATTGTAGTCTTTTAATCTGTGTAGACTATACACCTACCTTTACAAATTGGTGAATTAAATTTAGGTAGCTGTAAATATGCAAGTGAAACTTCTTCCAAGTAAAAGCAGAAAACCTGGTGTTTATGTGAAAGACAGGAAAAGCTTAGCTGCTGTGGAATTTGTAAGTAGATGACTTGTTGGATTAATTCTGTATCTTTTCTGTTTACTCCTCCTGCTTAGCCTTGAACTGAGAGTCCCATTTTTGGATCATCGGTTTACTTCTTATTATTTATCTCTGCCAGCAGAACTGCGAATCCCAAAGGTACATAAAACTGGGGTTGGATCCAAGCGTAAATTAAAAATTCACTGAGATGTGTTCTAAGCATGACCAGATTGCTGAATTTGATGGTTAAGTCCTCCACTCAAAGTCAAGCATGCTCTTAAATATTTTACTGAATTGTTGGGCTAATGGGAACACTTTTCTGACCAAAACTTCTGAAAGGAAACTATTTCATAAGTGTTAAATCCTTTTCTTTGCAGTGCAGTTCCTGAGACTCATGACATTGTTTTTTGTTCTGCAAACAGAATGGAATTGAGAAATACCTTTTAAGATTGTCCTTTGAAGATTCCAATTTACTTCCCAAAGAAATTCTCTGGAGACCCAAAGAAGCTTTCAGTGATGGTATAGCATCAGTAAAGAAATCCTGGTTTTCCATTCTTCAGGACTATATTGATCAACAGGTAGCATACCACTTTATCCTTTCTCACTTAGGTGTATTAGATATTGTTGCCAGTGGGAGGCAGCTCACATGCTTAGTTGAGAGAATAAATCTGGATATAACAATTAACTTGAGCTTCCCTATGGAGGAGTAAGCTAAAGCTTAATCAATGTTCTTCCAGATATCTGAGTTGGTTACAGGCATTTGTGATCCTAGTTACAAAGAAATGCTAGGCCCTGCCAGAAATGACTGTATAAGGAAATGAACATCATTTAAGTGTCTGGATTGCAAATTAGATTGTGTATCAACAAACACAATTTCTGGGTTACAGGCAAAGCAGCTGCTTCAGCTGAAGGCACTTGCATGAACTTACTCTGCAGCTGAGTAACAACATAATGATTTTATAATGTACTTTCTTGTTTGCGTCATTCGTTTTTCAAAGCCATCCCTAGCTAAGCCTTTTTGCTTTTTAAGCCTCTTCTTGAATTGTTAACCAGTGAAGACCTACAATATTTTGACCCTGTACAAAGGATAATCCTCTCTGGAGTGCAGACGTAGTTTAATAATGGAGAGGAAGGAGTAACACCCTATTTACACCAGAGCTCTGTTACATGGAAATACTTGTAGTCAAGCCTGTGGATGGGAGCTTGTCTGTCCTACCACCAACTCTTTCTTCCCTGTTTTCTTTCTCTGTTTCCTCAGGCAAGAAGGTAGTTGGGTCAGACAACAGTATTCTGCTGCTTATTCTGTGCCTGTACTGCTGTAGGAGCAGCAAATCTATTTCACAGACATGAAATGTTAAACAGCATAATGGCAGCAGAAGCTGCTCATTGAAATTGCCTCAACTGGTGCAACTATTTAACCTTCCTTTCTCAGCCAACTTAGCAACTGCAGGTGTCTTTGCCTCTGCATGCCAGGTCTTCAGTTGCTAAGAGCATGATTATTGGTGTTGATTATAACAGCCAGCTCTTCCCCAAGCTACAAAATCGACCTAGGAAGCCACTTACATGGCAAAACAACTGCTTTAAGTTTTTGCACTTGTTTCACAACAAAGGAAGGTTAAGAAAGAAGTCTGTGATCTTACTAACAAAGGTGGTTGTGACCCAGAGAAATGGGCTTCACATGTCATGCAGAGAAATACCAACAGCACTGGAAATACGTTTGCATATTCATAAAGATCAAGTGAGCCTGTGACAAAGGTTTGACCTGTCAAACCTGTGCCTCTAGAATAGACTTTTTTTTTTCAAGACTGTGGCTGTTTAGTGGCTGGTGAATCCTTGTATGTCTTAAAAAGTTGAAGATATTTGCAGCTTAATTTGAGTTTTGCTTATGTCTGTAGGTTGATGACCTTTTATTGGAGAAGGCAGCGGAGAAATATCCTTTCAATCCTCCTAAAACAAAAGAAAGTTATTACTACCGCCAGATCTTTGAAAAGCACTACTCAGGGCGGAGCAGCTGGCTGCCCCACTACTGGATGCCAAGATGGGTTAAAGCTACTGATCCTTCTGCACGCACATTGAAACATTACAAGTCGGCTACCCAAGAATAGACTGTTCAAATAATCCCCAAACAAAAGTGCTGCAAACGTTTTGTGTGCACTCTGCTTTAAGAAAACCAAACAAATTATGCAAACCTAAAGCTTAAATTGTCTTTAAGATGTACTTTGACAATGCAATTGGAATTGAGAGCTTTCTGTTGTTAGTGTACTATTAAAAACTTATACTGTTTTAGCTGCTGTACCAAAACTTTGTAATTCATGGGAAAATGCTTTCTTTACAAGGGACTACTTTATTTGACAGCTCTGTTCTTTATGTAACCTTGATTGTATTAATTTTCTTTGAAGTAATTTCATATGTTTTCTGTGAGCTCTGTTTTAAGGACTTGAATCAGGCTGAGGGATGCAAACTGCTGCTAACACTCTCAGCAAAGGGGAATTGGACTTTAGCTATCTGGTGATTTGTGTTCCTGGCTGAGGGACTTGGATAATATATATATTATTATATTCTGAATGTCCTTCTACACACTCCTGAAAACCTTGGTCTAGTTTTCAAAAAGTATTTAGATATTCATAGCTATGCAGAGATGCTTTCTAGAATTTATTGAGATGGTGCTGGGGGTTAATTAAATGAATAGCAGTCTTATTTGTTACTGTGAAGCCACCAGTTGGCTGTTCTGTAAATGTACCATCAGTCAAAAGATATTATGACTGTTATCAAAGAGCAGAATGGATAAGAGAAGCCAAGTTATGTCTTTGTTTCTAACTCAAGGACTTCAGTTTTTTTAAAATGTATTTATTATTCTTGAAAAAATAGAGTGTTATTGGGTCAACTGGGTGATTGGGTCAACAGTCTGATGGAAATTGCATGAGTGAGTATTTTAAGAAATTTTTCATTTATTGTGAGAGTTTTCCCACCTGTATGATGAAAAGGTTGACTGTATTGCTGCTGAGCTGTATGTGGCCACCTGTGTGGGTGAACCAAACCTGTTAACCATAGGTTGTAGATGGACAAAGCATCACTGACAACAGTGGGACCAGATGCCTTGCTTGGAAAAATGGGTGGAAAATGCTTCAGAAATCACAATCTAATACTCTACTGAAAAAATACCTGAATTTTAGTTGATAAAAAGTTATGTCATGGGGGTTATTTTTGTGAAGGTAACTGAAGTATAAGGGTAGTCAAGAAATACATTTGTTTGCTGCAGATTGACTTGATTAGCATCATGCTTTTTATGAAAATAAGTCTTCTTTATTGTCCCTCTTGACTAGGAAACCAAAGCCATTTTTTATTGAAAAGATTAAATATAAATTGTTCTGATTTAAAACCTTCACAAAATGATTAGCTGTCTGTTTGTTGCTCCACCCTAAATCCTGCATTTGAGTCTGTATCCAGAAACTTTCCTGAAACCTTTTGGTGGTACCACAGCACTTGTGAGCTGTCTGTAATATGTTCCTGTAGCCTTCTTTACTTAAGGGCCATGTGCTTGTCTTTTTGGATTTCTTTGAAACAATTAAGAATATTTTGAGTTGGGAGAGGAGTCTAGAGTATGTGGTTAAGTACTGATGTGTACAGGTAAGATTTACTACTCACTGTAAACTTCCAGGTCGCTTATAAGAAAACAGTATTTGCCTGAAGTGAAAATAGGCTAAACATATTTTGGGATCATTGCTAAAATGCACTTTCTGCTGCAGCATTGCAGCATTCAAGGAAATCCAGCTAATTTTTAAAAAATTCCTAGTACATTGGAGATTTATATATCAGGGCAATAGTCTAGACTGACGATTTAGTTCTTTTAGCTTTTTACTAATGTGCACAGGAAGAACACAGTGCTTGCTGCGTTGTAAAAGGTCTTGTGAGTGTAAAACCTGTTCATTCCTTTTCCATGTATGGAATTCTACAGCCTTTTTGGTTTCTTTGATGCTGTATTGATTTTTTTTTCCTTTTAAAATAAAAATTGAGGCAGAAAAAGACAAAACAAAAAAAAAATTAAGACAAAAGCATACAGCTACTCTGGATCATTTGCTAGCTGCAGCCCTGTTTGTAGTTTGTCACAGGAGGGAACAGGATGCAGAGCCAGAGTGCAATGCTGTCTTGCTAGTTTTACACTAGCTTTTTTCCTGCTGTGGTGGCCTCTTTTTCTCACTGTTTCTTTTGGATAAAATTATTCTGGATGGTTCTGACAGCTTGAGTGTATTGGTTTGAGTATTATTTCTGGTGAGTTGAAGAGATTGTGGGGAGTTGAAGTTGGTGGTCCACATGGAGAAGGCAGAGACAAGTATTTGCTTGGCTTGCAGGACTGATGAGGGCTGAGGGAGAGAACCTGTAGGGTTCTTGCAAAGAACTAAAATGGCTAAAAAATGTAGGGTTTTTTAAAATTGGTTTGGTGTGGGTTTGTTTGGTTTTGTTTTAATGTGAATCAAGTTAGTAAATTTTGTTTTCACAGCAATCTTTCCTCCTTTTGAGGAATGAGAAACTTAACATTTGCAAAGAGAGCACTGCAGGGTATGAGACCTACCAGGTGCTTAAGGTTGCCCAGTGCCACCCATGCCCTTCATCTTTTTAATAAAGTGTGTATGTGCTGTTTTAGCCTCCTGTTGGTTGCTTGTGTGGAGCCACCCTGACTGTGGCTCTCTAGAGAAGTTCCCAGTACAAACCAGCATGTAAGATCCAGAGAGCACTTGGCAGGACTTCAGGAGCCCTTAGTCCATTGGTCAGTTTTTTATGTAGGATGGTTTGAAATGATGTAAAATTTTTGAAAGTGTTTAAAATCACAGTAAAGTGTAAAAACAGCATATTTTAGAATCTTTGGAGGGGTGGACTTATTTTTTTCTCATAGAGACCTAATTTTTTCATTCCCATTGGCAGAAGTTGTGGAAGGAGGATTTGATAGAAGATAAGCCTGTGTTTGAGCTGGCTATTGAACATTGTCTCAAAGGAGAGAGCAGCTGAATTGTGGGGGAGGCTGCTTATTTCTGTAACAAGTTACGCTGTGTGTTCCTCAGTGCCCTTCCATGGAACAGCAAAAACACATGCATCACCTGCACCATGCCTGTGTCAGCTCCTCATTTGGAACTTCAGATCCTATTGCTTTTTATTTATGTATTTACATAGACATTGTGGTTGATGGAAAGGCTGCAGTCATGAAAATCTCAGCCTGTCTCTGGATGCAGGTAATGCACAGAAATGTAATTGTATTTTTATTTTAATTTAATAATTTCAAATTATTTTCATATAAGAGGGTAATTTAATTTTTTTATTTACCACGTTTGTTCCCAGAAGAGGGACAAAGAAGAATGAAGCAGAGAGGTGGTCTTTGCTGCTGTGCTACTCTGCAAGTTGGTGGGAGTAGTAGCTAGGGGAGGTGGTACATTAACAGCTGTTTTCTAAGACCTGTTGGTGGTACTTTACCCACCCCTCTCTGGAGTGCCACTCTCCATCTTTTTGTTGCCTGGAAACTCTTTCAACAAGAGAAAACTAGCTGGGCAAGCGGTTTTTTCCAGCACTATGCTCAGGTTTGGATCTTTCAATCATCCAATGTGGTACAACAAAAGATGTTGACTGCTCCGTAGTCCACCCGACTTTGTGTTTCTCCCATGCAAGCGAGTCGGGGCTGACTCCTCCCCTTGTTCTGTGTCCCGGGAAGCCAACGGGCAGCCACGTTTTCCCCAGCATGACACAAAGAGTGTCAAAATTTAAATTCGGATCGGGAAGTTGCTTCCGGGATTATTTCCTAATTCTTTTAAAAAAATTTATTTTTCCAGCCGGTAGATGGCAGCCGCTAGTTAGCGCGTCCGTGCAAACGAGCTCCTCATCCCTAGGGAAGATGCTCTCCATCCTGCTCTCCTTCCTGCTCTCTTTCTGCTTTTAATATCTTTCTTCACAAACGACTGTCACTGGGATTTGTGCGTGAGCCTCGTGGAATTTAATAAGTACTTGATTAGAATAAGAATAAAGCCAGGCATAAAATAAAATGCTTTCAAATTGATCTTGCTCCAAAGATGTTGTGCAGAGCTTTTCATGCTGGTGCTGCAGGTAAAGCAGCAGCTAAGAGTTGAATTGTATTAGTATTGAAGGCATTCAATATTCAATTTAGAGATAATTCAAAACAAGTTATATTAAAAATCAGTAATGTGAGATGCAATACGTATAAAATGTCAGTTCTGGGGAAGATGGCAGGCAATTCCAGACTAGGGAATAAGCAATGTTAATTTTACCTCTGAAGTTGTTAAGGTTTTTTGTTTTTCCTTTTTCCTTCACGATTACTGTAGGGATCACAGGATTTCATATAGTCATGCAAAGAGAACATTTAGCTAGAAACACAGAAAAAATTGTGTTTGAAGGGACCTTAGAGATCATCAAGTTCCAACCTCCCTGCCATTGGCAGGGATACCTTTCAGTAGACCAGATTGCTCAAAGTCCCATCCAACCTGGCCTTGAACACTTCCAGGAATGGGACATCCACAACTTCTCTGGACAGCCTGTTCCAGTGTCTCACCATCCTCACAGTAAAGAATTTCTTACTTGTATCTAATATAAATCTACTGTATTTCAGTTTAAAGCCATTCCCTTGTTCTATCACTAAATATCATGAAAAACATCCCTCTCCAGCTTTTTTGTAGGCTGCCCTTGGGTACTGGAAGGTGCTGTAAGCTCTTCTCTTTTCTAGGCTGAACAGCCCCAACACTCTCTGTCTTCATGGAGCGGTGCTCCCGCCCTCTGATCATCTTCATGGCATCCTCTAGGCTTGCTCCAACTGCCCCACATCCTTCCTATGCTGAGGGCCCCAGAGCTGGATGCAGCAGTCCAGGCAGGGTTTCACCAGAGAGGCAGAATCCCCTCCATGTTCTGCTGGCCACACTGCTTTTGGTGCAGCCCAGGAAAGCATCAACTTTCTGGGCTCTGAGCACGCACTGCCTGCTCATGCTTGTCCACCAGTGCCCCACGTCCTTTCCCTCGGGACTGCTCTCAATCCATCCATCCTCCACCCAGCCTGTGTTCACATTTGGGATTGCTCTGACCCAGGTGTGAGGCCTTGCCCTTGCCTGGTTGAACTTCATGAGCCCACCTCTCAAGGGTAAGTTTTCCAGGTGCACGTCAGAAAGGCTTAGGTACTTGTTTTTTCAAAAGTATTATTTTAAAAGTACAAATGCATTGTGTACACCTGAGCATCTAGACTTTAGCCCTGTCAGGAAAAAACATCCCCCAGTGACCACTGGTGGTGTAATGGCAATGTGTAAACACACACAGCCTTTTTTTCTGCTCCAGACGTGTTCTGAGAGAGGTCTTCTGACTTTTTTTTTTTTTTTTTGTGGTACTGGGTGCTTAATTGATGAATTTTAACCAAGAAGAACATAGGGTAATTGAGTCCAAAATAGTGCTTTAGAAAATTATAATACTAGGTACTTAAAATTATTTGAACTGACCTCAATTCCTAAACCATAATAATCTTGCAGAGACAAAGATGAGAGTCAGATTATTCTGGCTGCAAAAGCTGCCTCCATTTTTGTGCTACTATCAAGGATAGGAGTAATTGTCTATATTAATAAACTGTATTACTTAACATCTCTCACCACTGCTCTTGAAGACTGCCTTTAACACCTGGGGCAAAATGTATATTAATACAAATTACTTTTGATTAAAACCATTATTATTTTAGCACAAAAAGGAAGGGGGTGGTAGAAAGGAACATTCTCTTTTAAATATTTAAATACTCATTATGCCAAGGTGATACAAATTACTGGCTGACTGACAACTTGCTAATAATAGC